AGAAAATGCATCCATGTTTTATTTCTAACTCCAGTCTAAGTTCAACATTTTTAAAAGCTATCCTTGTTTTTCTTTTAAGGGTGGCTTTTCTTCACAACAACTCTCCGAACATGATGTAACAATTCACTACAAAATGTAAATTTATACTAAGCAGTACATAAAGAACTTTACTTGAAAATCACCAAAAGACAAAGTCTTCACTAGAATCCCAAGAGGATTCTAAAGCAAGGACATTGTAAGAATCAAACAAGGTATGTTGTTGTTGTTGTTATGTACCATCTCAGCCAAACCACAAGGTATAACACCATAAATTGCCAAAATCACTTCTATAACGGGCAATATGAAACAAACCTTTAGAAATGTGTCCAAACAAATCTTTAATTCTCTTAACATATATTTTGAAGTCATGAAATGCATGAGTAGAACTTTAAATATTACCCTAAGCACCTCAGTTTCTTTCTACTAACAGAGATTATGCCACTAATCCTATTACATGTTAAAATTCCATCCATAATTGATAACTATTAGATACTTAATCACTTCAGGTTTAGTGCATAAAATCTTACACCAGAGACAATGAATGCAAAGGCCAATTGGAGGAGAGGACGATGTAAAGGAGAGACCAGCTAACTCATCCAAGTTTTACTTAGCACTTACTTGACAACGGGCCATTTTATTTTTTCAAGTCAATACTACAAGTGAGATAATTGTCTCATTAAGATCTAGAAACAGATGCCATTACTCAAAGAAAATTATCCATAAATCTCAGAAAAAACACAACCTGATTCCCTTGAGCAAGCAACATTTTCAGTCTGGCTATTTCAGCTCGGAGCTCACGGATGAGTTTGACGTTGGCATCCTCATTAATAGTAGGCTTGTTGATGATGTTTTTGGCTCTATTTGCATAGCGAAGAGTACTTAGGGTTTCTCCGTAATTGACATCAGCAGGTGAAATGGCTGTGAAGAATGTATTCAAAAAATAACTTATCCAGCACTGCATGTTTCATTTAACACAAAGTTGGTTTGTCATTTAAAAGTCAGATTAACCCCAGGTCACTGGGTAGACTAAATATTCATTGCTATAGTAATGAATATGAAATATTATCTAAGATTTAGAAGAAAGAGGCTCACTATACCTAATTACATGTCATGTTGCTTTTCTTAAATCTAGAATCAGCTATCTAACCAACTCTGAAATGATATATGAGATATCTCACTGTAGTTATGAATGTTTTCTTTGTTGAAAACGAAGAAGATTTCAAGATTATTTGTACTTCTCAATATTTCATAGAAATTAAAATATATTTCAAATGTCTACTGTCTTTGTAAATACCTAAAGCATAATTTTGGATGAGTCAGTATGTCAGTCAAATCTTCTCAACATTTTTGGTTAACGCCACCTCTCGTTTCCATACTGAACTTTAAGGTTTAGGTGACTATACAAATTGCATCTGGATTGTATACCCCAGAGTAGATCCCTCACTTGCATAGTTAATGCATGGCGTAAGGATGGTATGAGGCAGAGGAAGACCCAGAAGGCGGTGAAGCACAGAGGAGAGAAAGAGGGAGGGGACGAGACTAAGAGAGAAACAGCCTTCTGAGCTTTCCTCAACAATTATCTTCCCTTTCTACATTTCTTCCCTATTTGGCTTCTGTCAGTTAATTGCCTAAGTATATAGAGAAATAAAATACATTATTCTTAGTATTATTTTGTTTGTTTTAGCTCACAATTCTTAATTTTAAACCCAATAACTTCTTTAAATAGAAAAGCAAAGTTATTTTTACTCTGAGTCCCTAGAATTATTTCCTCCTCAGAGGCAGTGAACTGGTATCAAACATATCCAAGATCATGGAAATACTGCAGGACCAGGAAATGTTTCATTCTGTTTATACATAAGGTTTCCACAAGTCAGAGCTGACTCAAAGGCAACTAACAACAACATGAGTTAGTGGATTGAGA